GTGACTTCCGATGAGAACGGGCCGTCACAGTCCGAGACTGCGTGGGAGGCTCACTTGCCCTTTAACAGTTGGCAGAGGGTCTTTGCACGTTCTGATTGCGCCATAAATAAGCTGTCACAGACACCACACTCCAGGCACGGCGAGGCGGCCCAGTCCCGGGCAGGACCCCATGAGCCGGTGGAGGGCGGACTCCTTCAGAGGTGCCTTCCTGACTGCAGATCGCTGTCCCCTCCACCAGGTGCCCCAGAGCCACCGCACAGGCTCCAGCATCGGAGCTCGGTATCACTCTGCCCCCACACCATCAAACCCTGGCTGACAGGAAAACAGCCCTCACACCGGACACTCTCAGGTCGAGGATGATGCAACCTGGTGATCGTGCCGCTGAGCTGGCACAGCCTGACCCAGACCCTGGTGAAGTAACACAGGCTCCGCTTCCAGCTCGTGGGAGTCAGGCCCCCTCAACCGTGTGGGCAGCGAGCCGGGTGCTGGCGCTTTGGCCCTGCCTCAGGCCATCCAAGGACCCAGCCCAATGTCCGGCTCTGCCCACCTGCAGCCTGGGCCCTGTGCTTGATAAGCTCCAATACACCGGCCTGGGCGTCCTGGACGGCAGTCCTGCCCTGGGCAAGTGGGGGAGCAGCGGGTGGCCGGCCATCTCCCTTAGGTCCCCTGGAAGCAGCGGAGGGACGATGGCATCTGAGAATGTTCCAGTGATGGGATGGGGGAACAGGCACCCAGAGTCACAACGCGTCTTGTTGTAGACACAGACAGAATTAAACTTCAAGGGTGCGGGTGAGTGTGTGTGTTGTGGGGATGAAGGAGCTCGGGTTTCATGAGCGTTGCCTGTGCTGGAGCCGAGCAGACAAGCCACGTCTGGGCCTGTGAGCACGTTAATGGGACACCCTGGTTCCCCATGTGGCCTCTGAAGTCACCCAGACCAGGGGTCGAGGTCTGGCTCTGTCTCCACACAAGCCGTGTGACCTGGGCAAGTCGTAAAGACTTCAGAGACTGGCCCACAACCCGGTAAAGGCTGGCCTTTACTGTCTCGTATCTGGCCTAGGGTATGTTAGTCAAGCATTTTCAGTTGAAATGGCAGGTTTTGTATAAAAGGGTGTTTGGCTCATGTAATTGGGGTGTCAGGAGGGAAATTGGTGTCAAGCATGGTTGGACCAAAAAGCTCGAAGCTATGATGATCAGATGTCAGGTGCCCTGTCCCTCCGTCTGTCCCTGCCCCCTCCTCCTCTCGGACCTGGCTCCTGGCGGGGGCCTCCGAGCCAGGCAGGCTTTCTCTGTGCGGCAATAAAGATGCTCTTCAGCGTGTATGGGTGGACCCCGTCTGCAGTGGTACCTTTTAAAGTCCTGCTTTATCACAGTGAGCAACACACCCCATGTAAAGAATGGAATAATTCTATGGGCATTTTTATGAAAATAGCAGTTTCTGTCTCTTGTTTAATTTCCTCTCCCAGAATTATCACTTTCAAGACTTTTAGCTGATTATTTTTCTATTGATCTCTAAATAACATGATGCATTTTTTCAGAATTCTCTATACATGTTAGATAACTCACCCCACTATAGAAGCATGCCCTTCCCAACTCCAGTATCATTAAATTATCCTGTGGTAAGATCACGAATCAATAATTATGTTATTACAACCGCAAAGGATACTCCCAACTGAGTCTGATAGTTAACTGTGATTACTTTTGATTCTTATATGTTTGTTTTTATTAAATCAAATATGTGTCTCTATTTTTTTTATTTTTGCTTAATTTTCTGTGGACTTATCGCGAACTCAATGCCAAATTCTCTGGCTGCCTACTTCTCTCAAGACACCCAGGTACGCTATGGTTTTCACCTCCTTGCAGACATGTCTCCCAGGTTCTCCTGACAGGTGTGACCTGGGCTTGTTGCCCTTTAGGCCTGGTCTGCAGGTCTCCCTGGGGGTCTCTCCTGGCCTCCCCTCGGAGGAACCTCCTCCCTGGCCTTTGCATTTGTCCCTTGTCACGTGCATCTCGAGGTCCCCTCCTTCCAGGTTCATATTCTCATTCTGCTGGAACGCATCCCGGAGTGCTTTCTGGGAAAAGGATTGTGGGAAGCACAGTTTTGAGATCCTGCATAACTGAACAGGTTTATTATAATCTTCCACTCGGTAGGTGGTCTGGTTGGGGATAAATTCTAGATTGGATGTCATTTTTGATCCAGAATTTTGAAGGCATTTTTCGTTGTCTGCTAAGCTGCCAGAGTTATTTTTGAGAAATCCAAAGTATTCCGACTTCTAAGTCTTTATAGGTAATCAGGAAAATGGGTACAATTGGTTGGGAGTTTATAATGTTGTATCTTGGGGTGGGTCAAATGTATTCATGCTGCTAGACACCTGATGAGCCCTTTCCTTCCAGAAAACTGCAACCTTCTGTCATGGGAAATGCTCTCAGACTTTTTGGATACATTTTTTTTTCGCATTGATGTTTCCGTCCCTTGCAATTTTTTTTTCTTTTCTAGAATTCCCATTATTTACATGGTAGAGCTGCTGGATGGGTACTGTTCTTTCATTGCCTTAATTGTTCATCCTAGTTTTTGTTTCTCTTCTGGGGCATTTATTTAACCCTGTATTTCAGTTACTCTTCTGAGCTTTTTATAGTTCTGATTCCCATGAGCTCCTTCCAGCTTCTAAATGCCACCCTTCAGATAGCATTCTTTACTCACTTTACAGATATAATATCTTCTCCTCTTCCTTGGAGAATACTGGGTATTTTTTTTTAAGTTTTCGTCTCTTGTATTTTCTCCTGTTTCCCTCCAAAGGCCTTTTCTCCTTTTTGTTTGGTCTCTGTGTTTATGATAAAATACTGTTCCGTAGCCTCCCGTCCCTTTCCCTTCGTTCTTGGTGGTCTCTGACTCCGTAAGCCCCCTCCCTCATTCCCGTGGCATTTCCGAGTTGTCGTTTGGCGTCAGAGTGGGGACTGGGGAGCCTGTGATTTCTGTGTGTGTGTGTCGGGTGCCGCCGGCTCCAGACTTGAGTGAACTGCACTCAGCTGCGCCGTCTCCAGCGGGGAGCCCTGAGCCGGCTGAGATTCCCCAGAGAAGGGTCTTGGGTTTCCCTGTCCTGAGGGTGAAGACGCATCCAGCCGTGGGCTGGCAGTTGAGCCCAGGAAGCCATCTCGGGCTCAGCACTGAGGGAAATCCTCGATGCACTTTGATTTCCGAAGGGAAACCCAGATGCTACGGCCTCGTTCCCTCCACCAGGAGACCCTCTACTTGGCCCTCTTCTGAGAATAACCTACGGCCTCGGCCAGAGCAGACGTCCTGTGGACGTGGGGGGGGGGGGATGGAACTGATTCTTGAACTTCCAACCGGCCCTCCTTTGGTAGGCCCCCGGCATCCTACCCGAAAATGACTGACTCCCCGGGGTGTGCGGCGGGCCTGCTGCCCAACTCTCGCTTACACCGGCACCTTTCTCGGGTCTGCGTAGCCAGTCGCTCCTCGCTGCACCCAACCCGGGTGCTGCCGTCCTCGCTGCCAGCCTTTCGTGCACATGCGCCTGTTTCTTTGGGGCCTAAGGAGAGACCGGACCTAAGTGCGTGTGTTCGGTTCCTCGGTGCTTGTCATAGCTCTTCACATCCCCACTGTCATATCACTTCAGATCGTGTTCCCAAAGGGATGGGTCACATGCCCCTGCTCCCTACTTGGTGCTAATTCTGGGTTCCCTTGAGGGTCCGGGTCACCTGCCTTTCCTGGTGGTCGGTGGTCTGTGACTAAATGATTGACAGCTGCATGGGAACCGTCCGGAGGGGCAGTTCCCAAAGGCAGGGAGGCAGCCAGGAAACCTCACAGACATGGGGCGCTCACTGGAGGAGGCACCGGCTTTCCTTGGTCACTTTGCACTAGAAAGATGTGGCCCCATCTCGGACACACCCGCGCTCCAGGCAGAAGGCAGCTCCCCGATCCTTTCCTGCAGCATAAGCCTCGCAGTGCCCTTCGCCCTCAGGCACCAGGGGGCGCCCAAGGGAGGGAAGGGCGGCCGGGGCTGGCAGAGAGCTCCCTCCCATACCCTGGATGGGAGAAGGTGGCTCTGGCAGGTGGGTGCTCCCAGGACTCTGGGACTTGGGGGACGCACCTGGAAAGGGGCGGGGACAGGGCCCTTCCTTGATTTCAATGACCAGTGGCAAAGGGCAGTGGAGTTTGTTTCCCTGCTTCAACCTCGGAGGTCCTCGCAGGTGTGTCCAACCTTTTGGGGTCTCTGGGCCACACCGGAAGAAGAAGAGTTGTCATGGGTCACACGTCCAATACACAACCACCAAGGGGGAAAAAGGTTTTAAGTAAATTTATAATTGTGTGTTGGGCCGAATTTCTAGCCATCCCAGGCCACGTGTGGTTGGACACCCCTGCTGCAAGGAGGAAAATCCACGGTAGAAAATATAAGTAATGGGCAGGCGTGGTTCTTCAAATACACGCTCTCTGTTCTCCTTCGGGTTCCTTTGTGTTCCTCTCCGAAACTGGGTGGCTGGGGCAGTCGGAGGAGTAACATCGTCCTCGGAAGTGTTGCAACTCGAAGTGAAACTAACTTTTGCTTCCTTTTGAGACCCCCAGCCACCGGGGTCACGATGATGCCATTTAGAAGACAGCGTTTTTGAAGGACACTTTTTCATGGCAAACTTTAAGTGAAGTCCACCGTTGGTGGCTAAATGTCAGCGTCCGTGTTTGACTGTCCTTTGCGAACTGAACAGGAACGAAAGGCCACAGCCAGACCAATTAGTCGCGTATGACGGGCCGGCGTGACATTTTTACTCCTGAGCTTTGCTGGTATAAAAGGGTCACCCAAACAGGATCTGACAGGGACTGTGAGGAATTTGCCAATAAAACCACTGGTCTGCGGAGGTTTGGCGACGTCCAAAATGATTAGGTAAAAGACTGCGTTTTTCCACAAAGAAAAATGTTGAATTTGTGCATGTTTTTCTAATGCTGATACTCGCCCGGAGGGCACTAATCTGAGATGTTCTTCTCCTGACTTTGCAGCTCATTAAAATTCAGTCTTATTCTAGTTCTGTCGGTTTCTACACTGCACGTGTTCTGGTGTTACCCGGCCGCGTCTCCTAAGGTAAGAGTTTCGCCTCTATTTTTGGTACTTAAGTAGGTGCCTGGAGCTGTGTAGTATGTAAGTTGAAGATGATTTCAAGGGGCATGTGACAGAAAAGTATTGTCTTTACTGTTCGAGCTTTCAGTGAAGAAAAGTACAAGGAGAGTCACGTAATTAGTAAAAAAAAATAAGCATTTATATGACAATAGGTAATACTGACATATTCATATTCATACAGTTTGTTTGGGATTATTTAGAAGTTGGTCACTGCACAGGAAAATGTTCCTTTCAGTGTAGCATGTGAGCTGCTCGCCCATGACCATGGATTCACTCCGTGCACATGTATCACTGAAACAATGCACAGGTGATGTGTTACAGAACCAAACAGCTGAGCCTGTATAATTGTGTTAACCAAGGCCACCCGATAATCCAATTGAAAAATACAATGGATATTTTTCAAAAACAGTGAATCTCTTAATTTTGCGACAATGGTGACTTGCTCAGATGTGGATAAAATGCCGGATCTCAACACAATACCTCCTAGAATAGAAATGTGTGTGTTTCCTCAAGAACACTGACTGAGCTCCAGATTATATTCACGGAGCTGTTCGAGACATCCAGAACGTGCATGCCGTTCTTTCACGTCAATACTTCATTTACGATTTCACAGTGTGTTTTCTGTGCCTCACTACAACGTAACCTGGCACCCTGGAGTCTCTGAAATCGATGTAATTCGTGAATGTGCTTTGAGGAGAGCCAGGTGCCACCTACACGGGAAACAGTGAGTGTGTGTCCGAACGTGACGACATCACTGCCGACACGGTTGGTGTTCTCACCAGTCCCCGCCTCTGCCATTTTCCTATTTTGTGTTGGCTTAACCCAGAGTCCTTCTTCCTGTTTCTCTCCTGTCGGCACCCACCCCTCGTTTAGTCACTGATCCTGTGACACCACATGATGGAGGCGATGAGTCGCCATCTGTAAACTGGCACCTTTTCTGCAGTGTCTTCCGAACGATGGTCTGTTCTTTCCCTGAAGGTCTGCCCGTGGCATTTCTGTGGGATGAGGGCGGCTGTGTGCAGTGTTATTTTCTAATTAAGAAGGTCCTTCCGTTTGCTGTGCTCCGGAGCACTCCTTGTCCATAAATGAGATGTCCCTTCCGTCACTACCTTTTCTTTCTGTTTTCGCCTGTGACGATGTCCTTCTCGGTCTGACCCCATCATGCGGCCGTGGTGCACCCAGACCAGGTAGGGCGAGCGGTGACGCAGGCAGCGGGGGTGCTCGCAGGCTTTGGTGATGTCCACGGTGAGCCGCACACGGTCTGTCCCCCAGGCGAGCGAGCCGCAGCCTTCCGTCCTCGACTCCGCTCAGGCAGGGCCCCTCTGGTGACCTGCCAAGGGCACCGGTCTCTTTTTAGGGGGGTTCCCAGGCTGTCTGAGCCTGGACCGATACACTTCTTTGGCAACATGATGGTGGTGTCATGAGTATTTCTGGAAGAGCAGTAACACTTCTTTTCCTGAAATGACTCACAGGCCCCTTTTGGGCAATGTATTTATTCCATGCTGGGAATTGAAGTAGACAGACTTACGACATGCTTCGATTTCCTCTGTTAACCAGGGAAAAAACACATGGTTGGTGTTCTGATCAGAGCTTTTGATCGGTTTTTCCATGATCGATATTTTTGAAACTCTGATTCCCAGAGTTTCAAAACTCAACACCTCCCCCCCAAAAAAAGCCCATCTTTTCCCCCAGAAGCGAGTAGAAATGACTTTCCCGGGAGTTCTGACTGCGGGGGGCCTTCGGCAAGCGCCCCCACAGCCCTGCACCCCAACATGGGCAAGGAGAGCCAGCGAGTATTTTAGACACTCTGGCCACGTCGCAGCTTCCAAAGTCACCCAAAACCCAGCCTGTTTTCCTGCACCAGGAAAAGAAAATGTGTATTTTTATTGTGTTGTGAGTTTAGGTAAGATAAAAGCGTCCCCCCTCTTTCCTCCTGTGGACTCCCATCGAGGTGGGAAACTCAGCTTGCGGTCCGAGGCCTGGGTTCGATCCCTGTCCGCCTACAAGCCATTTAATTTCCTCATTCAAAGGTCATTGTCTCTGAGGACGGATGTGTCCCACAAAGGTCACCAATGCACCTTTCTCCCGCTCCTCCTAAAATTGGTGGGTGTCCCTGGTCAGGGTTTGCTCCCCCTCACACCACGAGGGAGGGGACATGTGGTGAGTGTTGAATATTCGTACCCAATTTCAGGTCATGCCCGCCTCGGGGACTTGCCTAACCCTAACCCTTCGCCCTTGAACCTGCGCTCCTCATCTACAGAGGATGGGACTGAACTGCAGCCCCTCCATGGCAGTTTGGGTTCAGATTCCAGCCGTCTTTTGTGACTAAGTGCCCCCTATGCTACTTTTTGTGCCACAGACAAAGAACTGAACTGAAGTGAAAAGGCAGAGGTGTTGGCTTGTAGGTAGCAAGGCTTCTCGGGGAGACCCACGGCCTCGGACCAGGCGCAGAAGGAAATCAGCTCCAACTGAAACCTGACGTGCGGTTGTCTGGGGCAGTTTTTCTTAGTGAGATTTAAAAACTGTCCCCAGGACTCATTAGTGCCACTTGAAAGACTCCCTGTAAAGAGATAGTGACAAGATTACTGCACTCGGTGGAGGAAGCAGATACTCGATAGCAGGGTCACACGAGGGGCACTGAAGTCGGACAAAATTTGGGGGGGTCGCTCCGAAGAGCAGGTTGCATTGAGATAGTACACATGTTACATTTTAGAAAACTTTTCTCCTTGAAAGCGTCGGGTCTGTTGGACTTATTGCCGTGAGGACTTGACAGTTGTTGCATTAAAATAACCTTCCGCTCTCAGGCTGTGTTCTCCCCCCGCCCCCCTGTGTTGCCAGGTGCTGGGGACGCTGGACCACCTCCTCACCCTGCTGAGCGGCTGCCCAGCCGGGAGGGACAGGAGCGGACGGCTGGTCTCTCTAAAGCCAGTTTTGGAGAAGGTGTTTGTGAAAAGGTCTTTTCGCAATGGCGTCGGCACGGGGATGAAAAAAACTTCCTTTCGAAGAGCCAAATCCTGACGAAGTGTGTAAAGGACTCTGGGAATTAGTCTCAAACTTTGTGGCGTGTGATAATGTGCTAAAAATCAGTGACACCTTCACCCTGTGGTATTGGTCTGCGCTCCACAATCTCTTTTCTCTCCTGGATAGTGTAACGTAAACTGAGCTTTAAAAACAATGGTAACTTGTCTGCAACTTCCACTGTAAGAGGACAGACTGCATGACCAGTTGGTAATCTTCCTGAGTACAAATGGACACCTTTTGCTCTGCTCCTAAATTGGCCAGAAAGTAGGAGTATTTTTACTGCGCTGACAGTGGTGTGATTTTTTTCCTGCCTATAACCCTGTAGTATCACAATACTGGCGTGTTTTTCTTTTAAATACAGTCTTCTGAAATGACGCGTCAGGGCCAGTTCTTTGCGGATGTGCTATTGCCATTGCTAGGAGTGCTATGAAATTAACCCAAGTTCAGGTGCATGCTACACCTGCATGTTCCTCACCAGCCCACCCAGTGGAACTCCTGCCGCCCTTGCCTATCCAATATGCTGAGACATGGGTTGTCATTTTGTCTGGGAAACTTGTCACCTTTCTAAAATCTTGGAACAGAAATACCACCGGTAACGGTAATGACACCAGGCAGACCAGTTGCCCTGTGGCGGTTGGTGGGGGCATCTTTTTGGAGCCAGGTCCCCACACTGGGCTGCTCAGCCCCATTCCCTCCCCCTCCAGGGAAGGCCTGACAACCCCCCATCGAAACCCCCGACATGCCTTGTTTAAAAAGGTAACGCTACCCTGGCGGACACGGTGTTATTTCAAAAGCCTAACACTCACACACGTGTTTACACTTGTCTGATTCTGCACCACGGTAAGGACACTCGACTAAGAAAACCACTGTGTTTTGCAGCTCGCTCTGTGCATGGGGCTGCACACCGGTGTCCCTGACAATGTCCTGCCAGATTGCCCACACTTGTGGGGTGCACTTTCCACGGCCCCACGGAGCTGTGTGGTGCGGCTGAGCCTGGAGCAGACAGGATGGTCACTGAAGGACACACGTCTTCGCTGCATCTGCAGAGACTCGGGGGACCAGTCTCGGAGTGGAGCTCAGACGCAGGGCATCGGGGGCGGGATGAAAAGTGCTCCCGGGAAACGGGACGGCCTGTCAGGATCTCGCCGGGGAGACTGGCGTTCTTCCTCGCCGCACAGTATGCGTGGCCGGAAAGCTAATAGATGGCGCAGTAGCCGTCACTTACTCTTGCAAAGTGCAAACAGTCACTGCGTTAATAAGCTCAGGGAAAATGTGAAGTCGATCGGGTGTCCAGTGCAGGAAAAAAAACCTGTTATTTGCAGGGGATTGTCTTAATTTGTATCCACATGCATGTAGACCGATCGGAATAACGGGACACCAGACACGTAATTAGAACTCTTCCCATTTCTAGATCTAAAGTGTCGTTCTAACGTGGGGGGCGGGGAGACCTATGAGACACTGTAGCAGAGGAAAGGCTGGCCAGAGGGGAATTCGGTTTGTGAGGCATAACGGGGTCGCGAACCTCCTGCTCCAGACTCAGGCCGGACTCACCTTACCTACAGGCTCCCCTGCCTCTCGGGCCTCCAGACTCAGACGGGGGTTGGGGGGGGGTGCTGTCAGCTGTCCTGAGCCTGGGCTTCTCCGCCTTCATGACCGTGTGAGCTATTGCAAATAATCAATCAGTCGGTCGATCTCCATTGATAAATATGCGTCCCCTTGGTCCCATCTCTCTGGGCCACCCTAATACACTGTGTTTGTTTGCTTTCGCTCCACAGCGACAGCCAGAAACCTGGTGACTTGCAAGTGCACAGTTGTCACCTCCTGAAAGCCAGGAGTCTGAACATACCCAGGTCACCTCCCTCAGGGCCGCACCAGACGGCAACCCGAGTGTCCCCCCAGACTGTGGCTGGGTCTCGAGGCTCTGCCAGGGAAGCAGCTGCGTCCATGCCCAGGTGCTGTTGGCGGGAGTTGCTTGTTTGTGGCTACAGGCCGGGGTGTGGCCATTGTTCAAAGGCTATGACAGGATCCACCGTCTGTTCCTTGGGCTGCCCTGAGTCCCTGCTACGTGGGCCCCCCACCCCGTGCCGATGTCCCCCGCACCTGCTAGGGAAGACTCCTCCAGCAAACGATGTTGTGATCTCGTGAACATCATCATGAAAGTGTGATGTCATCACCTGCGTCCTCTTCCACTGGCTAAAAGCAAGTCCTGGCTTCTGTCCACACTCCTGGGGAGGGGTCCGCACATGGTGTAAATGCCAGGCGGTGGGCATCATGGGACCACTTTAGAGTCTGTGCACTGCAGGAGTTGTGAGGGGCTCTCTTGGCTGTGACAGATCCCCACCTGTCTCCAAACCGGAGCCGGAAGGAGGAGTAGGGCCCACACCAAACGGGCCGCACCCCACCTGGGCAGTGCGTGCGGGGAGGCCCTCAAGGTGCCTGACCGGGCAGCGTCTCCTGCCCTCATACAGCTGGCCCGAGTCTCTTGTCCTGTGACACTCAGCTTTCAAGGTTTAAACTTGTAGTGAAAACAAAGCTATCGGAACCCTACTACATGCCAGACACTGACTGAAGAGTTCGCATGTATGAACTCACTGATAACTACCTTAAATACAGAGTAAAATACCTCTGTGCTACATGCTCTCATCTGCCCCACTTCACAGACGAGGCACAGAGAGGTTAAGCGACCTGCCCTGGGTGGCCCAGCTCAGCGGCAGTACGGCCAAGATGAGACCCAGGTGTTCTGACCCCTGAGGTGGAGCACTTCCCTCCTGGACATCTGAACCGGGGACCTGAGAACGACACCCTCTCCTGGGGGCGGGGCGGGTGGGGGGAAGCTCTGCCCAGCTGGTTAGGAAGAGCAGGCTGAGCTGAGTGAAGAAAGACTTTGTAGAAAGTAAGTGCATTTTAAAGAGGCCAGAAGAAAGGAGGTGAAGATGCGCTTGAAATTGCCAAGACGCGTTCCCCACGGAGAAATGGGAGAGAACAAACAAGCGATAGGAAAGCGACTGGATCCGGTGCAACTGGAAAGTTCTGCCATCGCAAAGGGGCCGCCTGTGCACTTGGTCAAGGCCGATGTGACATTGTGAAGCATCCTCTCCGTAAATCATGGGGACACGGCGTCTGTCCTCTGTGACAGTCCACGGGCTGAAGTTTTGCTGGAGCAGATGACCTGGAGTAGGCTTGTCACTCTTGTTCTTCTGTGCATGACGGGGCTTCTCACATCCGTGGGCAAGTGGCTAGTAATTATCGAAGCGAATTGCGGTCACTGCCCGAGGGAGACGTCGGCTGGGACCCTGTTTCCTGCCACTGGTGGAAGTGTCAGGGTAGATAAAGGAACTGTGGGCTCTGGTTCTTCTACAGCCTTTAAGAAACAAACTCCACAGCTTGGAATCAGTGCCCCATGTTCTCTCTCCAGGTTCCTCTGGGCTTTGGGACGCCAGCCACGTATGTGGCCGAGTCACGACCAAGGGGTCTCGTACTGCTTAGAAACACGGACTTCGGGTTCAGATGCTGCTGAGCTCAAACCACTTTCCCCATGTGGCTGTACACGCGTGCCCAGACCTCTAGGGGGCTCAGTTCCCTCCCCTGTGGGAGGACCTGTGCAGAGGTTCGTGGGGGGCGAGCGAAGTGATACACGTATCACAGGATGAGTGCAACACAGGGCGAGTCCCACGGGCAAGCAGAGGCCAGCTGCAGCAGGCGTGTCGGGAGCATCCAGACATTCGCGCAGGAAATCGGATGCACTTACAAATTAAGTCGGTGAGGAGCGGAAGGCAGATATTGCTCGTCGATGATGGGAAAGTAAACTGGGTATTATTCCCAGCCTAGCGCTAAGCTGAGATAGATGTTTGTGTGGCTGAGGCCGAGGAAGCACATGTGGGTTTGTAGAAGTGGTGCGTCTGACGCCGAGAGTGATGCCCACCGTGAGGCTGACGACGCCGACACACACGGCCAGACCCCTATCACAACACAGACGTGCCCGAGGCAGCCACCAGCCCGGGAAGTCTGGCTCTGCAGCCATTGGCCCCAAGTAGTCAGGACCTGGCTGGCAGCTGCCATTTATCTCTTATTGGGCCCCCACCTCCACCTCAAACCAACAGAGAAAGACAAACCTGCCACCAAACCCACCTCACAGGACACCCTGCCTCCAACTCGCCCGCCTCCCAAGTCTGCGGGCCAGCAGCCTCCAATCGGGCCCGTCCAGAGCCTTTTCCTCAACTGTGAAGTTGCCCCACGCCCCTGCCCACCTTTGGCTCTCTGCCAAATGCAGCGATGCCGGCCCAGCCATTGCCGCAGCCAAAGCCCTGCATGCACAGCCCGCCTCGTCCGGGTGTCTGTCTCCACCAGCCGATGCAGCCACGGGGCCTGCGCTGAGAAAAACCTCCCAGAAACTCCGTACTGGTTGGAAGTCAAAGTCTGTTGGCATACGCTTTCTGAAGCACTCTGGAAAACAAGGGCACTTTTATTCATTCGCCTTACTGTAGATTTAAAAATTAGCGTTTAGGAAATTTAGGCAGAGAAAGGACAAGGAAGCCATGTAGGGGATGCGGGTAAACACACACACACACACATTTTTGTACGAATGTGATCACACAATTCTTACTTTGAAAGGTTTTTTTTCCAAACCTACGATATTCACGGACATAGCTTTCCATGCCTGCGAATGTGGAAATAGACCAGCAGTACTCAGTTGTATGTGTATATCGCAATTAGTTAAACATCTTCTATGAACGGACAGGTTCAGGTCACGTGATACTGTGTGGATGGGAAAAATGCTACAGTACACACCTGTGTACACTGTCCGATGGCTCTGTACAGATGAAATGCTGGAAGCAGGAAAGCGGGCCCAGAGGTATACGCATTCAAAATCTCAACACACGGTACCAAATCACCCCCCGGGACAGTGGAGTCACGTAGGGACACTGGGCGTCGTCTGTCTTTTCCAAGTTTGCCAGCTGGTGAAAGGCAGCATCACACAACCGGAATGTGAAGTTCTGTAATTTTTTAATTACTGGTCCGGACCGGCCTGTCCTGATGTACCCACCTCCCCCCACACCTGGGGCTCGTGTAGGAACGGCCTGCTGAGCCCCCGGAGCTTTGCAGTGGGTGTCTTTTCCTGTTGATGTTAAAACCTTGCTGTGTAACAAGCATTCAAGCACTTCGTCAGATTTGTGATTACATTTTGTTTTATTTGTAGTTAGCATGGAAATATCTTTCATTTTTCTTCTTCTGGCCACTGGGTCGTGGGAGCCCAGCCACTGCGGTCCCGTCCAAGGTAATAGAAGGTTGTAAGGTTTCATTTTGACCTGCGATCCAGGACCCCATCTCTTGCTGAGCTGAATTAGATCCTCAAGTGCATGTCCATGAAGGGATGTAACCCTCCTCCCATATTTAGAAGGCCTTCTGCTGACTTGTAAATAACAGCTTGTTGAGCACACTATTTTGAGGTTAGCTTTTTTACTTTTTTGGTCCAAATTTTTTAAACATTTTATTTATTTATTTTTAGACAGAGGGGAAGAGAGGAAGAGAAGGAGAGAAACATCAATGTGTGGTTTCCTCTCATTACCCCCTGATGGGGACTTGGCCCACAACCCAGGCCTGGGACCCAACTGGGAATCGAACTGGCGACCCTTTGGTTTACAGGAGGGCACTCAATCCACTGAGCCACACCAGCTGGGGCTTTTAGTCTCAATTCTGCAGACATTTGGTTGCTCCATTTTCTTCTGCAGTTTTATGCTGTTGAGAAGTTCCAACCAGTCTTTTAATGTTTTTTGCTCGTCCGCCTCCTGTTCTTTCTTATTAAATATTTGTAAGAGTCTTTGAGTTTCTTTAAAGTTTGAGATTTACAAGATAAACCTCAATAGTTATCACTCTCTACTGATTTTCCAGGTCATGATACTTCCTTAAAGTTCTCTTCTCTTCCATTTTTTTATTCTATCACTCCGTTCTACTTGCTTACCCTCTAACGCAGGGAGCTCACTTTCCACATCCCACCGAAACCCACCAGTTTGCTCGCTCTTCGTCTGAATTCCCCGGAACACAGCCAGGGGCACAGCCCCAGGGCCACCCCCTGCAGGAGGAAAGGCCAGTGTAAGGGAGGTGAGCAAGGGGGTCAGCAGACCGGAGGCTGAGCGTCACAGCCTCAGCAAACTTGCTGGTATCTGTGTGAACCCCTGGGTCCTTCTGAAAGGGGCTGGACATCAATTGTCTGCCAGTCTTGGGTCTCATCACTGTGTTCGTTCTTTTCCATCGTGTTTGCCCCGCAAGGCACTCTCCCCTTCTGCACGCGGGTTGGGTTGCCCCAGCCCCTGGGCAGCTGCCAGGGAAACCGAATGCCCTGCCCCGCCCCGGAAGCTGCCTCTGAGCCCCAGTATGATGGGTGGAGAGGGAGACCCGCCCCGTCCGGTGGGATGGGGATGCAGACAGCAGCGGCATCAGAAGTGGCCGAGGTAGTGGGTGGCACCCACACTGCTGGGTGCCCGGCCTGTGCAGGCTGCCACCTCCTGGCTGGGGGTCCCCGGGACACCCCACTGTGTGTGGCCCAGAGCCTGGATCCAGTAGGACCATTTCCTCTATCATTCGTCTGTTTCTTTGTCTGTTGCTTCTGTGTTTCTGTGTCTTTGCAGCCCTGTCCTGCACGTTACTAGCTTGGTCTCTGAAGTATCAATTCTGAAGACTGCAGCTTCTAAAGCATTTTTAAATTTCGGCAGAAAGACTGCTTTTCTCCTCATTATCTGTAGGTAGGCCTGCCAAGTCTATTTTCATCTCCTGCTGTTCTTTTCTTTTGTTTTTATTTTATCTTTTGTTCTCTCTACTCGCGAAGAACAGGAAGAAATTCCCTGACATATTTGATTTCCCAAATAACCACTTTGGGATATTTTGTTCCTCCGTCATTCTCTCTGTCTCTCTCACTTTTAAAAAATACAATTTCAGAAATCTCGTGCATTTTGAGTGCCTATTATGTGGACTGTTTGTTAAGCACTTAGCATGTTATCTCTTATCCTCACCACACAAGTGTCACCGGGGCAGTGTTTTCTCAGGGAGACACGGACTAATTAAATCGCCCGAGGTCGCCGCTGAACGCAGGGGAGCAGCCTTCTCCCCGCCATGTGGGCCGGGCCCTGTGTGTTTACCGAGGGCTTACTCACCACACCCTCTCAGCGGGCTGCCTGTTGCCTTTCTAACCTGTTTGTGGACCCAGTTGATGCAGAACCTCAGCCCTCCAATCACGCGGCTTCTGCACAGCATCCTCCTGTGGGACAGATGCCGTTTCAGTCCTGTCCTCTCCAGCTCCGAGGGTCTCGGCTCTGGCTTCCGCGTGCTCATCGTCCCTTCGCTCCCGGTGGGAGACCTCGCCTGGACTTGCAGGGTGAGCGGCTCCGTGTGCAGGATGCAAACAGCACGGCTGCAATCTCAGCTCCTTGTCTGCTGAAAGGACACTTTAAAGTCCAGACACAGATGCCAGGTATGGCCCCTCCCCCCGACACACACTTTTTCTTGGTTGGGTAGCAGAGTGCACTGAATCCCTGATTGCCCTGGACCTCGGGGGGTGGGACAATCTTTGTTGTAGACTATTTCTTTGTTCTCAGAAGGGTCACTTCCAGAGCCCTCTTGGCCAGAGGAGGTCCATCCTGGTTCCACGTCCCCAGCCCAGCCCAGCCCCTGGCAAAGGGCGAACCCGGGGCACACCCTTCAGACCAGGGTGATGAGCTTCCCTCTACAACATCTGCGCTCACTCTCCCGTGGGGGAGGGCGCTCGTCTGCAGATTTTAAAAATCAAATCCTTTTCATTGGCAGTTTCTTCTAACCTTTGGATGACAGTGGACAATTCTGGGACTGTGGGTGGGGACAGAGCCAATGAGCAGGGCCTCTCCTTCAAGGACAGGAAGATGCCTGACTGTGCCCCAAAGTCCAGAATTGGCATTCCATTTCCGAAAATCAAGGGGGCATCTCAAAGTGACTCGGTCACAATGTTCTAACGTGTTCTCTGCCACCGTCTAGCATCTGTTGCTTCTCCTGGCGACAAAGATTTTTCTCTGGGGACCCACAGACTCTTCCTCTGGGCCCCGCGGCCCCAGCGGGGCTTGGCCCCGGTGCCGTGGACGACCAGCCGGCCCAGCGGGCTCCCCTGCACTGCAGCGGGTGAAGGAATCAGCAGATGCAGCCCAGACCTCTGCTGAGCCTGGAAGGGAAATTCTTCCTTCCATGGCCTTGGAGCTGTGAGGACGAGCGTCTCGACAGCCCTAGTTCCACGAAGGCAGAAGACTCTAAATGGCGGTTAGTGACATGGGACCCGGGGAGACACCAGCCCCGAAGACAAGGGCTGGGGGCCTGGAGTCCGTCCAACAGGCCTACGGCATGTCCACCAGCCTCCCCCCCACCACCCCCGGAGCCAACACAGACCCTTTCACTGAAGCGACCTCAGCCAATCCGCACACTGCCCTACTCTGCTCCCGTGCCCCTGGGACACCGGAGCAAGGACGTCAAGGCTGTTTATTCCACCACACCCAGACGCCAGCCCACCCCCTGGCGCCTACTACATAATTTGGATGTTCCTAACACTTGGCCACAGCATTTCATTTGCCCAAGGAACCCGCTTGGGGGTGTTGTTTCACTAAGAGTGTTACATAAAGCTTTCAACGAGCAAAATTAATATAAAGTTATCTTCTTCCTGGGTGGGAGGCTTGCTTCCCCCAGCTTCCAAGCAAATGCTAACGTCCTCCCAGGCGGAGCGTGGTATGGGGCGGCTCTGAATTACCCTCCACCTCCCGTGGGCACCGAGTGTTGGCTCCTGCACACTGGGGGCAGCAAGAAGTAATCTAGACTCTGCCGTCCTCTGTTACAAACTCCTGCCGATGAGCATTAAACAGCGTGATTAATGGAGGAGCAGGCAGAGGAGGTTTTGGAAAAATTCTTTTGTTTTATTTTGTGGCTATAGCCATAAAAAATAATGGCTTCCCCTTGGGTTAGGGTTTCTTTTTATTTCTCCAAGAAAGTTCACGTCCATATCTGCACTGACGGAGGTAGAAAAGATACTGTAATTTCCATTTTAGAGATGATGAAACTGAGATGCACAGGAAGAGGCCAAGGACGTGTGACGAGGTGTCAGCCCACACCTTTGAGCAGTCTACCTCCGTGGGTTTCAAGACAAGCACTTTCTCTGGTTTCCGAAGTGGAGAGGATATTTTGGAATGACATATTTTAAAAGGAGGTGCAGGAACTGGCTGCCGGACGTGGACTGGCTTATCCAGGATTCCAGAGGTTTTCAACTGATGTAAGCATTTGGCAAAGGGACAGCATTTCAGTTGATGTTATGATTTCATTAGCAACTCCCAAAACTAATTAACTTTTTAAAGGCTACACACAATATTTCAGAAGAACTTCTGGAAGATTTAAATCGTTATTAAGGCCTGTGTCTCCTTAAAGTCATCATTTCAGAAACAGCAAATTGTATCAGGTAGGAGAGACAGATTTGCTGGATGACAAAGTACAACTGCACTTTAATGATGAAATAGAAACAGCAATGACGTTGCAAACAGAGCTCCTGGCCTCAGACCAATGCGCAGCACTCGGTGGGTCAGGATGCACAGTCAGGACCACGGCACCAGGCTGAAGGCTGCACCCCCTGACCCGGGGCAGCCCCAGCTCACCAAGCCCCACCGGCAACCTCGGGTTCGGTGCTTTTTTCTCTAGCCTCTAGTTCCTGATTAAGGAACATCTCGGACAAGATGTCTTTAATGATGGTAACAATTTTACAGGATTATAAAGATTAAATAAATGATCTATGTATAAATATAAAACTTTGTCCAAGGCCTAATACCACCAAGTACTCACCAAAAGTTGCTGTGACTTTAGGGTCATTCTCAGCACGGCTCCAGCTCTGTCAAATCAGCATCGCTGTCATCATCAAAAAACCTCAGGTGGGAGGTCAGTCCTCCGTCCGCCGGTGACCACCCACAGTTTGGGGTCCGGACTCCAGCCTTCCAGGGCCTCGCCTGTCTCCTACGGAAGAAGGGACACACTTTGCATGTCATAGCTCAAGCCTCACACACGGGAGTCAGAATAAAATATGACAACAGGTACGACTTTTTTACGCTGATGTTGTGTCTCATGTCCTTGAAGCCAATGAGGCAGTCCCTCTACAAACCACTGAACAGGTCAGAGGGCGAGGTGGGTGGTTTTCATTTCTCAGTTTTATGTTGTGCCCCTGAAATTGACCTACGGTAAGCCAACTATCCCGAACATGATACTTACAAACACATAAGTATTTGAGCCGTTTTTAGTGGCCAGTCCAGATACATTACTTACAATGCTGAAGTTAAACAAATAAAATAAAGTGCTTAAGTTAAACATTGTAATTACATATTATAAAGGGATGTAAGTTATTACTGTTTCCCATTGAGTACCCATTAGAACTTGGGAAAGAAGTTCTGTGAAGTGGTATTTTCATGCTTCATATAAAAAGACGACTAATGAGCCAAGGACCCCAGTGAAGTCCCCATTGCAAGCTGATGGCAACTAAAATTCAATTTCCCCCTGCCAAAGAGGCATTCAAAATGACTATTCGTTTCCTGGTGCATTTTTTGAGACATTAGTGGGCTCATTCATTGCACTGCTGAGGAGACCCTCAGAGGAGAATTCGAGGTGGGCACAACACATTTGGGGACTAGCCAGTGAGAAGAACTCAAGTCAGGCATGGTCTCGATGACCAGTGTGAGCACGTGACCCCTGGGACTTCTGCTCCACAGGCGAGTCCCTGTGGACAGTCCACTGAGTTCCTGCCGCAACCCTTGAACTTCACGCAGAGACCAGGAAATAATGAGCATGTGCTAACCACCTGAATAAATTATTGACTGATAGCTTGCTTTATTTTAAAGAAATGACTAGCTGGGGGTTAGTAGAGCTAAAAGGGACCTAAGGAATCACAATGGATCATAAACACCAATTCAACATCACTTAAATATTAATGTGCTTCTTAATGAAAGAGAGGGGTCCCTTCCTCTTGTTTGGTGGTGGCCTAGCAGAGCACTTGGTGGTGTGAGCGAGTGTGACGTGTATTAGCTATCGCTCATCCTCTCGGAAAACAGGGAAGAGACAATGAGTCAGACACAAATGTGTGAGAGCGGACACAGACTTAAGGAAGTAATTTCTGGTGTCACTGATTTTTAAAACTTGTATCAGGGAAACCTGGCTTGGCCCTGCAGTTGAGGAATGGAAGCTCGAACACATGCGTCTCTGTTGACAGTCTCCGGAAACGGCACTAGAACCATCACAAAGGAGGGTGAGGGACTGATAGCAAATTCGGGGCGCTGGAAAGCAGCTGGGAAGGACAAATGGCCCCGCAGAGACTAGAACATGTAACCTCATGCTGGCAGTGGGAAGAATTCAGAGCTAAGCCGAGTTATGCCACACAGTCCTCAAAGGACTGGGTGGGTAGGGGCACTTCGATGCCTCTGGAAGGGGGATAAGGTGGACGGACTAAATCAAGGGGCATTTGCACTGACTGATGTGGCTCAGTGGATGGAGGGTCGTTGCAAAGCAGAAGGTTGCTGGTTCGATTCCCAGTCAGAGCACATGCCTGGGATGTGGGCCGGGTCTTGTCTGTTGGCTGTTTCTCTCAAGTATCAATGTCTCTCTACCTCCCTTCCTGTCTCCCTAAAAGTACATAAACTCCTTTTTATGATGAGAAATAAACTAAGGAGCATGTTGGAAGCCTGTTTAAGAAGCCGTCAGACCTCTAACTCCCTCTCCCACCCCGGGGGGACCACCTCTACCTACTGCCTCACTCGGTCCAAGACGGGAAGCTGGTTCTTTGGCAAGGATGAGAAGGAGGCTCTCCGGGCAGGAGGAAGTGGGCGCGACGGCACGCTGGAACACAGGGCGCTCTGCTGAGAGCGGAGGGGTCAGCTGCGTGCGGGCATCCGGACACAGAGGGGCCCCTTGACCCTCTGCTCTCACCAGCAGCTACAAGAATGAGCCTCGCCCTCGGTTCAGGAGACTGGGAGACACTTCCCTGGGCCATCGGGCCCAAGGGACAGATCCAAAGATGCTAACATTGGAGGTCCCCTGAGCACGCAATCAGCTCACCCAGCTGCGGCGGGCTCACGGAAGAGAACCTCCTTCCACTGATGGGAACTTCTGGTCCCCCGGGCAGCGCCCTCTAATGGACAGATCAGGAGACAGGTGAGGAAAGCCTCTAGCACCGGGTTGGGGGTGGGGGATGTTACCAGCACTTCCAGAGAGGGCAAAGCCACGCGGAGCAAACGGGATGAGCAGGAGGAGGAAAACGACACAGAAACCTCAGCGAAGTCCTTACGGACATAAGAGACTCTATGGAAACCACGCATCGAGAACTGGATGCTCAAAAAAAAAAAAAAAAAGGGAATAGTCAAAGAGCAGCAGCGGAAATTACTGAGAGTGAAAAACACAGCACTGGGCATCCCAAGTCGATAGAGAGTTCTGAATGTAAGTTGAGAACGGCTCCCAGAAACCAGAACGAAAACATGAGGAAATGCAACGTGGGGGAAAATAATTAGAGGACCATCCCATAGGTTTGATATTTAACTAATGGAAGTCTCGAAAAGGGAACAGAGAGAGAAGCCACCAGTGACGTGATTCAAGAAAATGCCCCACAACTGCAGGACCCGAGGTCCTAGCCCGGAGGGCGCACCAGACACGTCGCACGATGGCTGAACACAGAGCTCACCAGGGTCACGTCACGGAGTCCGGACCCTTCAGGACCAGAAACCATCGGACCAGCTTCTAGGAAGACAGGAAATGAGGTCACACACGAGGACCCAGAGTCAGGAGGACTTCAGACCTCTCAATGGCACCCAGAGTAGCTGAAAGCCAGCGGAGGAAGTAAGATCTTTAAAATTCCAGAGAAGTGGTTTCCTCTCAAGAATTCTATACCCAACCAATTTCCAGTAAATAGGGTGAGAGTGAAATAATTTTCAGGGGAACGCAGTCTCAGAAGTGCGTTTCTCACACTCTCTTTCTCAAGATGCTGGGGGGGGGGGTGTGCCTCACACTAGACTGTAGGTCGGGGAGACCCTGGAGACGCAAGGGCAGGTGAGCAGGGGGTGGGGGGAAGGGAACCCCGAGAATGGCGGCGACGGGAGGTCCAGGGCACAGATGGGCCCGAGCGCAGAGGACAGCCCTCCAGATGGCGGCCGGCCGTGGGGTCCTGAAAGAGCCCTCCGCAGGACGTGTGAACAGGTAAGGTATTGCTGTGTCTGAGTGTCTCTCCGGGAGATTATACCATGACTGAAGCTCATGCACTTGGATTAACGTGAGAGTGCAGAAAATCGGGCCAATTGCAGACATAAAATATGAACTTGAGGAAAAGCTGGACTAGTGCAGGGAGAGACAAGGAACCTTAGCTCTCCCTGTGGCCCACCGTGACGGTGTCGCAAAGTCACAGCACATGAGTGCAATATGACCTCCCCAAAGCTGCAGCGCAACTCCCCGCTGCCCACACCAGCACACCAAGAAGTGACACAGCCCAGGTTTGGAGGTGCAGAGGCCACCCCAGACTCATCAGGTGCTGAAGCGGGTCGCCTGTAGGGAGGGGGAAGTGGGAGTGGAATGGGGGTTACTGTTTTTAAAAGGACATTTATGTAAGAAATTGACTCTTTAACCTATGAATGTGTAGGGGTTGGAGAAAACTAAACACTAACAGAAGAGGGAGAAGGGGAGAGAGAGGAAGGGGGGAGGGAGAGAAGCGGGGAAGGAGGGCGGGAGGGGAAGGGAGGGGAATGAAAGCAAAGAAGGCACCGAAGCTTCTGTGTCCTGGCAGACGCCCTGGCTGGTCGACCTGTGGCCGAGTGCGGCGCTCTGGGCCGGGCGGCAGCATCTTCAAGAGGCAGGACTCGGCCCGTCCCCCGTACCTTGGCCCATGTCCCCTCCCTCATGACCCTGATTGGAAGGTTTGGCTCACTCTTGAACTGATGACAATCATTCACTAACCAACCGAATGAATTTCCCGGGAAAGTTCCTCCTGCCCAGGCCTGGCTGAGACGGACAGGTCCGAGGCGAGGCAGGAGCACCAGGGCGGCTTCGCCCGGCTGCCCACGCGTGTGTGGCTCACCGGGGAGTGCACGGCTCTGTTTGTGGAGCTCACAGTCAGATTGAGGAGAGCGTGACAGCTGTTCAGAACGGATTGTTGAAGGCAGGCCTTTGGTCTCCCCAAGCCTTCTGTGCACCCCGGTCGGGCTGCTCTGCGGAGCCACAGTGACAGGCCCACGACCCTCAGTGAACACGGGTAGCTCGGCCGCTCTCTGACTTCAGCGGCAGGTGGCGTGGGAGGGGTGCCTGCTTCTGTGCCACCCTCCCCTCTGTCCTGCAGTGACCCTGTCAGAATCACTGGCTATCGGTCAACCTTCTCTTTGACTGGAAGGGGCCGAGGAGAGTCGGAGAGCAGCTGATGAGAGGGGCGCCACGAGGCCCCCTCGGCCCGTCTTCCAGTTTCAGAGTGGCCATCTGTCTGGACCGCTCGCACCGCCTGGCTGAGACCCGGTCTCCTTACCTGCAGGAGGAGGTCCCAGTAGTCTCTCAGAGGTTCCAGGAGGGTCACCTGACATCCTGGAAACCAGCTCCTGGCATGGGGACTGCCTCCTCCTTAACTAGCCCTCGGGACCACTAACTCCTCCCCTTTGGCGAAGAGATGACCACTTCAAGTGAGAGCACCTACAGGTCGGACTGAGACCGACCACCCGTGTTCTTCTGTGCCCAGCACGGGCAGCCTGAGCAGCAGGAGGAGTGGGCGGGTCAGGAGCCGAGGAGGTCGTGACCGGCCCCGGGCCCTCCAGCTGCGAGCGGGTAGGTCACGAGAGGATCCAGGCCCGAGAATGGCACGGCTGCCGCATGGAGGGGTTCTCGCCTGGGCGCTCCCACAGAGCCACCAGACGTGTAGGAGCTCTTCCTCACACGGAGCCGTCTCACTGACGTCAACCTCTCTCTGGGATGTGATGCCCCTAGAACATCTGGGCATTGCCCTGCAGGGCTGTGAACTGAGACTCCACCACCATTACTTCCACGCCGATGCCATGTTTTCCAAGTACAAGCGCCCATGGGGACATGAGCACCTTGGGTCATGGTCCCCGGTCCAGCTCAAGGGCATTGGAAGCTATCTCCTCCCTGCCTGCTGTTCCTTGAATCTGCGGAGCACCAGGTTCTCCGGGGCTCAGACGACCTCGCCACGCAGCCCCGTGGCAGCTTTTGTCCCCGCGTTAGGCAGCCTTGGTCTTCTTCGCACACGTGTGTGAGACCGAACAGGGCGAAGACTGCGGTACCCACCCCACAGCAGCGCATCCAGGGCCCACTCACCTGGGGCCACGCACCCTTGCTCTTGGGGCAGGTGTCGCCCTCCTGCTTATTTAAACCGACAGAGCACGTCTCACACGCAACAGATTTCATGGGCTGAAAATTGCAAGTCCAAGGCCGCCGGCTTCACTTCCCTGTAACTTGCTGTGCGGCCCTGGGCAGGTGACCCCAATTCTCCAGGCACGTGTGTGGGGCCTTCCTCTGTGGGCATCAGCAAAGGGCAAGGGAGCTTCGCAGCACCGGTTAGCGAAGCTCAGCGCGGACGCAATGCCCGTGAGGACAACATACCCTTGGAATGCACCTCCGGACACCGCGGAACCCAGGTCTGAGCCCAGTGAGAGCAAGGAGGGGCGGGTTCTGGGTGAGCAGGGACAGCATCAACGGGCCTGTTGCTGCGTGTTGCTCGGTGTGTCCGGCTGGGCCCCGGGGTTGGGGCGTCTGCGGGCTCAGGCTCTGGCTCGGAGCACATCTCTGTGGGCCGAGGATCCGACTCCCAGATGGAGGCAGGGTGGATGGTGCCGGCAGCACATACGGGCGGGGGGGCTCGGTCCCCTGGAGGAGGAGTGAACTCATGTTCCCAGATGGAGAGGTCAAGGCTGTGGGTATTTTTGGCGTCTTTCAGTGGGAGGACAGCGTTATTCCCAGACCTGATTGGCAATCCTGTTTGGCGTGATGGAACTCGGATGCTGGCTGTGTGTCACCTGACGCTGTGACAGAAATAACAGTGGGGCGCTCTGCTTGTCTCTGACGTGTGACTCAGTGGTGCTGTCTGTAGGAAGTGCATGCGGGAAGGATTCGTGGGGTAATTTTGGAACAGAACACTGAATACAACTCTCTTCTTTTCTTCAACAGGCTGCAGGAAGGAGGGCCGTTTAGTCTGTCAGAAGCACATCAGAACCCACAGCCCAAGTCAACTGGCAAACCCACGGGCGGAGGCGTGACCCTGGTCACTTGGTCTGCCATCTGTGCGTGTCCACTTTAAGAAAGGGGCTAGCCACGGAAAAGACACCAAACGTTGCCAGCTTGCCTCAGATATTTTATGTCACTTCCCGGTGGCAGAAACTTACTGAGGGACCATCAGAAGCTCTGCCTCCCATGGCTTCGTTGAAGTTTGAAGCCTCGTGGCAAGAAGGAGCCCAGTACCCACGCTCTCAGACACTGAATGAAGTGGACCGGCAGTAAAGCATGCAGAATATCACTGTATCTTTTCTTAATGAAAACACTGCCACCAGCTGGTTAATAAATGATTCCACGTTTTTATTGAGTGAAAAAAGCAAGTCATTTCCCCTTCATTTAAAGAGGGACCACAATGTCGAATAAAGGTAATTTTCCCCCTTTTCAGGAAAATTAACAGCGTCTCAGGATGCCTGTTGTTCTTCAGTCATTTGCAGATTGAAGTGATCTGAGAAGGACCCGAGCTTTCCGCTCCTGCGTGGGGCCCTGGTGGCAGAGCCCTCGTCAGGGCGCAGGTAGGACGTGGTGGGGGATTTCACGATTCCAGCCGGTGCCTCTCACAGAGGGCTTCACCCACCAGGTGCCCTCGCTTCTGTAAAAGTAAGGACAGCCCGGGCAGGGGCCTGACCGGCCCAGCGGAGTCCCCCGGCAGCCCCAGCCACCTCCGGGTGGGGGCGCCCTTCATCCCCACTGCGGCCACACCCAGTTCTCCCTCTGCATTTGTACGTGACACACGCTTTGGGACCCATCTCGGCTTTAGAGCATGTCTAACTGACCTAAGATTTTTCAAGCATTGAGACCCAGAATAACAGAAAAACAAAGGGGAAATTAAAACAGCTCCAGCCAACAAGCAACAGACCTCCAGGAGCCCACCCGATCCAGCTGTGTATTAGAGCCGCCATCCCAAGACCCCATGCAGGCACCCAGGGCAGCGGTGGCACCAGGGCCAGGCGGTCCCTGTCACTCTGTGTGGAAACCCCCTTCCCCCGGGGAGGGCTGAGCGCCTGCAAGGGAGCCCGCACTGAGCAGGTCACGTGTGCCGGGGACACCCCAGGCCCTTCCTCGCTGCTGGCAGAGCTGGAACTTTAAGGTCCGGCAGTGTTGGCTCAAGGGAAGAGCGTGGGAAGCATTGCCCGGAGCCCCCTCTGTTATAGGACCCCCAGGGAAGCCTGCAGGCAGGGCGCTGGGTCACCCTTGGGGGCAGGAGACTGCAGCCCCTCAGCCACAGCGACCACAGTGTGTATGTGTGTGGAGGGGGGAGCGAGGGAGAAAGGTGTGTGGCAATTCCCTGGAACCCCTTTCCTTCCAACTAATGAGGGCAATGTTAAGGATTTGCTGAATAAAAACATTCATTTCTCCAAAAGGCTTTAATAGGAAAGGCAGAGGGATCATGAAGATTTTAAAATACGAAGATAAAAACTCTCAAAGGTTCCCAAGCGGCGACACTGAGCTGCAGCGGCCCTTGCCGCCCGCGGGGTTCTGTAGAACTCGTCGCACTGTAAGCTGACTTTAGCCAAGTTCACAGGCAACGGGCATTCAGGCAGCCCTGGTTCGTTACCTGGGGGCCAGGGTTCCTTTCGGGATATCAGACATGACTGATGCACGCACGCACTTGAATTTCATGGTGGAGTTAATGTTCAAATAGGGTGCAAAGCAAACATTTTGAGTTTCCCTTGAACTTTCTTAGTGATCTCGGAAATAAAGTATCAAAAATATGTTTTATTCAGAAATGTGTATTCTAAAATTGTTAACTCAAAATATTAACATGAGGCTTTTGCAATTTTTTTAAAGGACAATTTGCTTGAAACATCCTTGCTGGGCCATTACCAACATTTTCTCTTAACACCTAACCAGCTGGATGCTGATAATACCGAGAAGGAAGAGGATTCTCGGCCTGGGTTTCGACCAGCGAGGGCGACCCGTTGTTACACGTCCCAGGCCCTCCTCGGGCGCCACAGACCCTCTCCGACCCGCTGGCTTTCCCTGCCGGTTCTCCCAACGCCAAAGGATGGGCTTTCCCGACTCTGCTCAGGTCAGTCCAGGCTGCTGGGGCTCCTCCTTTGCTCTTGTCATCAAATCCTTCATTAAGAGAACCCCCAAAGCAAGCACACCCCAACCCTTCCCTGAAGAGTGATCTTCCCTCTTCAGGGGAAGATCACTGGGCGCTCTCGCCCTTCCCTTGGTGCCCCCAGGACCTTGGCTTCGGGGCTCCAAGCTGGAGCAGGTTGGAAGCCCCTTACCTGTCTTACCTGAGTGTTCTGGGGGCTGAGGTTCTCGCACCCCACGCACCCCAGGTCCTGCACAGTGCCTGCCAGGAGACAGGACCTTGACCTCGGCCAAGCAAATCAAGATCCAGGGCTTCCACCGGTGACCCAGACTCGATCTGGGGGACAGGCCCAGGCGCCAGGCCCGCCTGGCAAGCGGTTCCACATTTTTGACGAATCTTCCGCTCGGCCTTCCCACGGTCTCCCCCGGTTTGTGCTCACTCCCTCGGCTGTGAGGCTCCAGGGGGACACTTCTTACCACTGTATGAAGGGCATTTGCTGGTGCAGGACAGACCCAAAGGGGGCCTTCCTGGGCACGCCCCCCGTCCCCAGAAACGGAACCTCACTGGGGTCAAAGGTCCGCGAGAACACTCTGGGAGACAGAACAACTGGATTTTTTCTGTTTCGGCTGACGAAGTTTTATTTCATTCTGTTTTTCTATAGTGAGACTAAGACGTGATTAGGAGCTGCTATCATTTTATTAAACGTGTTTATTAACCTGTCCCAGTGTTTTCCCAGCCAGCAGAACAACGCGATGTGAGTCCACAGCCTTTGCTGCAACAAAGTAAATAATCGTGACTCAACCAATTGGGCACTTACCGAACGCACAGTGGCCACCACTGTTGCTCACCCTGTTGTCCCGTCACCTGCCGTCCTCGACCTCAGAGACTTTTGTGGGCGTGTTTTGTTCCAATGCACTGCACCGCCAAACTCGGCCATGTTTTCAGGTGCTGCAAAAATAAAATAAAATAAAAAATACACTCAGTGTGGAAACTTGGAAAATGGGACAGAGTACAAACAAAAATAAACCCTGTCACCAGAGATACCCTCCTTTAACGTTTCAGTTGACTCTCTCCCAGGTTTTTCTTTCTTAAACATGTGTTTAGAAAATATCTTTTTATGTGCTAGTTTTCTCTTCTCATTTTTCCACTTAACATAGCATAAGCTTTTTCAGTTTCATTAAATATTTAGTAAAACACATTTAATGTCTGCACAATACCCCATTATGTTATTATACCAGGATTTACTTACCCATTACCCTTTAACGCAAATGCCCACGTTTTCACTGCGAATGGGCTGAGCTCCGCACTGCGCCCGGTGCTGTGCGGGGGTGGGCATCTCACGCCCCCTGATGTTTTTGCTTCCTGAACTTTGTCGTGTTGACTGTGCTCCCCTACAGCTCTAGTAATGTTATTAGGATAAGCGTCTTCAAAGGCCACTGTTGGATTCAACAGAATTAACACTTTTTGGGGGCCAATTTTTATTTGAAAATTTTCAAATCTACAGGAAAACGATAGAAAGAATAGTATAAGAGCATTTTTGCTGAGATTCACCAACTGTAACTCTCTCTCCCTCCCTCCCTCTCCACACACACACACTCACACACTCACACCCCCCCACACATACACACATACACACACTCACACATGTGAGATTTCTCCCTGAGCCTCTACTTTCCTGAAAGTATTTCGCAGACCTGAATACTTCAGCCTGCGTCCATGAGAAAAGATGATCTTACACAATCGCGCCACCTTTATCATCGTGAGAAATGTAACATTTACACCCTAATACTGACCAGGACACACCTCCCTGCCCCCCCTCTGTCCCGATGGCGTCCTCTGAGCCCCCTACCCGCCCTGGTGTAGAGTGTTGTTCATTAGTACGCTTAGTTTTTTTGGCTCACGGTCCAACTGAGATCATCCGTCATACCTGGTTGTCTTGTCTCATTCCTTCCCCCACACCATGGACTTCTTGTGGTAGAAATTACACTGAGTAAAATTCATTCTCTTTAGGCGTATAATTCTATACATTTTGACAAACACATAGTAATGAAACTATCTTGGTGGAAGTTCCAAGACACAGAGTATTTGTTTCGTGCCCCGCAGTTCCCTCCAGCCCCTTTATAACTCACCCCTTCCCCCCTCTTGGCCCCGAAGCCACTGATCTGATCTCCACGCCCGAGGTTTTGCATTTTCTAGGAGGTGACGTCAGTGGGCACACCCACTGCCCAGCCGGTGGAATCTGACTTCTTCACTCAGCACAACGCTTTGGGAGTTGCTCACACCCTGCACGTACCAAGAGTTCCTCCCTTTGAGCCCCTGAGCAGCTTTCCCTCCCAGGGATGGAACACGGCGGTTGTTCATTCATCCACAGGAATGGACAAGGAGCTCTCTGCACGTTGCAGTGGAGGTTGCGGTGGAGGGAGCCCGCAGCTGCCGGGAGCGCTTGTGTGCCGGCTCTCTCGCACTTCATTTCTTTTCGGTGAGTACGCAGGTGGGGCACCGCCGGGTCTAATATAGAATGTGCGTTTAATCTCAGGAAAGACGACCAAACTGCTGCTCCACGCGGCCGCAGTGTCTCACACCCCCGCAGGGGCACGAGGGTTCCCGTTGCTCCGAGGGGTGAGTCTATGTTTACTGTTCTGAACGTTGATGTCCGGTTTTTCCAGCACTGGGTTTTTTGAAGAGAATGTTCTTTCTTCCTTGCTTTCTTTTTCTTCTTTTTGTTTATATTTTATTCATTTATTTGTAAACAGAGGGGAGGGGAAGGAAAAAGGGAGAGAAATATCAATCTATGGTTGCCTCTCATGTGTCCCCTACTGGGGACCTGGCCTGCAACCCAGGCATGTGCTCTGACTGGGAATCGAACCAGCCACCCTTTGATTTGCAGGCCGGAACTCAATCCACTGAGCTGCACCAGCCAGGGCTCTTACTTGCTTTCTACACAAGAGGTTGCACAAGCAAAGGTTATGGGAAGGGTGACACTGACTCAGAGCGGTCAGGTTTTACAACACACACGTTCGACGGGACTGCAGACTCGCCACCTAATCGAAGGCTGCAGACGCGACCCTGGGAGACAGGTGAACCGTCCTTTCCAGGTGTTCATTTGCTTGATGAGAGTTTGGATAAAAAGGGCATTTAACTGCTCATCCTTTGGTATTAGAATTTAATGTTATGTAACAAAAATTAGCAAGCCTTTATACAACTCTTGCTCCTTCAAATTATTTGTGCTATCATTTGGATTTTTCTAGAGTAAAATAAATTAAATATATAGAAAATGCTCGTTTTTCTGGTCCGTGACACTTTAAGGAAAACTTT